TCCCTTTGTGACTTAAAAAAAAAAAAAAAAATACATCTTCATTCATGTAAAGGTTATGAATATTTTTTTCTTGAAGGAATACAACTATGTTCTCATAACATTACCACCAAAAAAAATCTGTTCAAAAATCAGAATTTGTTTTTTCATGATCCCTTTTTTCTTTGGGAAAAAAGGAAGCTTTCAAATATGCAGCAGCAGCAGTCTTGTGTGAATTTATCTTCACTTGGGTACAAAAAAAAAGCCTTGTTTTCGTATCCAGCCAAGAGGTTTGATGTCATACACCTAAATCCACTCATAACACATTTCCTTCATTTGTTCCAGAAACTGTTTCAGATCGTAAAAGATCCCGTTTGTTCCTGAAAGCCTTCACACCCCCTTGTTAAATTTACTACACCTTTGAGATAACCGCCACTATTAGTCATACCCCCCCTCCTTTCCCCCAACTCATACACCAGCCCCAGCCCATAAAACTACAGCAGCAGCAGCATTCGAGTTGCCCTGGGGTAAAAAATAACAAAAATTAAAAAATCCTGCAGCGAGTGAACTTGTGACCATCTCCACCAGTGGCATTTACCGTCCTGTTTTTTTATTTTTATTTAAGTTACCATCACCGGAGCCACAATGCCACACATCCACGAGTTCGAAACGCACTTTGGGAGCTCACACATGTTTTATTCACTTTGAGAAAGCGGAGAGCATCATGAAAGGGAGGCTTCCTCTTACAACGCGGGCTCGCTTGCCAACAAGCAAACATATGAAATATTCACCAGCAAATATTAGCATCGGTGATAAGAGGATGATGAGCGATACAGCCATTAAAAAGGTATCCTGCATATATTTGGGGGGCGGCAAATCAGCCCACTGTGGGGATCTGACATCTGAGTTTTTGCGCAGCCGCGCTTCATCTCTGCTTGAGATTCTCTCCGGTGGGAATCGTTCGACACTTGATGAGGAGCTATTCCACCACTAAAGTCGACCTGATTTCATTTCACGACACAGCTGATTGTACATTCATTTGCGGGTCAGCAAATTATTAAGAATCTCTCCGTGAATCATTGCGTGTCGGAATAAAGTGCATCTTTAATGGGCGATGATTATTTTGTGGAAAAGCGAAGGAATGGTCGCCCTTCCACTTTATGATCTTTTAAAACAACTATACCGTAAAAGCTCTGTGCAAAATGGGAGTAATGCAACATAAAAATGCCGCATTTTATTGCAGTCTGTTGGTGTGAACTGCAGAGATGTGATTACGCGAGCATCATCAAGTTGAAGCTTGCCAAACTGAAAGAAATAAAGAAGGGGATGAAATCTAAAGAGCCTCAAGCACAACACAGAGATGAAAAAAATAAAATCTGACCATAATATGGCAATAATGTGAACGCAAAATGCTAATTTATGACGAAGTGTGCACAAAATGCTAATTTGTAGGTTTAATATCGTTCCTGTCAACAACTTGGACGTCTAGGTAAGCAAATGGAGTGCACCTTGGCTAGACAAAAAAATTTGTTGAAACTACTCAATTTTATTTTGCGAATGGTTGCACAAAATCATCTTGATCCAGATTTTTTTTTTTAATGGACGCATAGAATATGTTGTATGTGCCAGCACTATTCAAATTACGGTACTCTGATTAATACTGCATTTGTGGAATGAGAAATAAACGGAATAATTCATCAATCTTAGGGGGCTGCCATGTTGGGCAATAGCACCATCCGGAAGTGACGTCACAATTACAGTTGCTCTTTCGCTGGGTAAAGCATTTGATTACGCCTGGTTTGTAAAAAACATGGATAGGTAGGCGCTGTAATTGCGCCAGGCTGTCAGCCTGAAAAGTAAGATTGCAGATTTGTTTTCACCAATTCAACTGCCTTTGAAAGGTAGTCTGCCGGAAGTTGCAATGCTACCCGGAAGCTAGCCACTAGCGGCGACTGGCACCACATTATACAATTTAAAAATCTACATATACGATACGCAGAGCATTCAGTTAGCGATTAAACATGATTTTGTGGGATGGTTTTGCGTTGATGTTTGTATCGTACATAATGGCAACAATATAAACTCTTGTCAGGTCATTCTCCAAAGTCAAGCCAGTCGCCAAAATGCTATGCTTTGTAGCGACGCCACTCTGTGTGCTTCAGCGCGGACATGTATTAGCGCAGAGTTCCCCAACCAGGGGTACATGAGCACGTTGCAAGGGGTACCTGAAAACATTTAATCATTCATTTCCAAGATCAATAAACTGTGGCACTGCCGCGCCGAAATCACAACAGGCACGTGTCAGCTCAAGTGTCTCATTAAATCTCAGACGACTGATGAAAAGAATGCAACACTGCCCCGCTAGAGTGAGTCTGCACATTATGCTTGTGAAGTGTTTTGTTCCTGAGACATAAAGTTCAAATGCCCGTTTAAAGAGAGCTTATTCTAAGGAGCTGCAGTTTTTTTCTCATAAATGTTATGAGTTACATATAACAGAGGACGTTTTTTAAAAAAAATGTTTTTTTGTTTCCCATTTTTTTCCAATTCATATTGATATTATTAGCATCTGTCATTAGCTGGTCAATAGATCTGAACGATGTGTAGCTTATCGTCGCTGAATATTTATGACCTGACATATACAGTATATCGTTCTCCTGAATTCACGCTCCAGCAGCCCCCGCCGACGAGAATTGGACAAATATTTAATTGATTGAAGTGAAAAGTATTAGATAAAGAACAACAACATTTAAAACATTGTTATAACAAATTGAGTTTAGTTCCTCTTGAAGCATTTTGCCACACATGCCACGTCTTGGGCGCCATAGGCCTCTACCGAGGTACAACTGAATAATAACAGCAGAAAAAGGCCTCGCTCACTTCTAAACCCTCTGTGATGGTCTGTCCTTCGTGTTTATCCCCAGAGGACAAACGCTAGTTAACCCCTGAGCCTTCAGTTAAAATCTGCAGACAGCTTGGGAGAAAAAGGCCCGATCATCTTGGCGCGAAAGCCTACTGGGACTCGGGAGGGCTGGCGTGCCCGCTGCATTGATTTACTTGCTGACACCAGAATTGATGAGGAATCATGCTGGCCGCGCTCCAAACGAGGCAGAATGGCCGAGGAGGTGAAGCCCAGAAGGGGAGGAGCTCGGGCGAGTATGGCGGCGAAGGCGAGGGTGGACTTGATTTTCCCTCGAGCGCGGCAACACGACCCGGGTGGTGAAGACAACCCAAGGGGCTGCGGCGTACTTGTTCAACCACTGACCTTTAATTCACTATTGTCACCTATCATGTTTCACATGTATGTCCCGCTGGCTTTGAGGCAGGAATAGTGGTGGGGGGGTTGGGGTGAATCACCGCTGTCCAGTCTGATCTGTGCTTTAAACCTCTGCGGCACGCTTCGATTTCAAAGACGTGAATTCACTCGCTGCCCTGCGATTGGCTGGCAACCAGTTCAGGGCGTACCCCGCCTGCTGCCCAAAGACAGCTGGGATAGGCTCCGGCACGCCCCGCGAGCCTCGTGAGGATAAGCGGATTAGAAAATGGATGGATGGATGGAATTCACACTCCAGGAGATGTGGTGGAGGGGTATCGGGCACCCTCACATTCTGCTCGTGCAAGGGATCTCAAACTCTTTGGGCCCAAGTTACGATTTAATCTTAAAATAATAATGACCATAATTCTTTAGGTGTGGGTTGGGATGTGGGGGAGGGAATGGAGAGTTTTAGGGTGGCTATGTTTACTTGTTTGATGAAATCTTGCCAAGTCAATGTTTCTGCTTGTATAAAGTAAAACATTCCCCATTTCCTTATATTTTTAAGACTCCGACTACTACTGACTTTGCTGAAAAAAAGTCAGACGTCATTGATTAAATCGATTTCAATTTGACTTTCATCACATTATGGTCAATCCATAATCTATCATCCTTATGGGCAAAAATTAAACATATCAAACCAAGTTTCATTCACATCTAATCCGGAGTGCACATTTCATTTCTGTTTTCAAAAAAAAAAAAAATCAATGGCTGTTCAACCCCTATCCTGTGATAACACATTTTATGTTCTTTAAAAAATGAATCTGCTTTATTCAAGCACCGATGTCGCATTCCATTGCAGGTTTGTTACAATCTCATCAGAGCTTTTAATTGGTCTAATTAGTCTAAATATGGAGAAGAAATTGGTTTTGCTAGTCCCCATGTATAGGTATCATGCATCTTCTTTTTTTTTTAATTATGCAACGTAATAATATATTGTAGCTGATTTTTCGGACCCCCACGTTACAGCTTGTCAACCCGCGGGGGTCCTCAGACCCCAGTTTGTGAACCTCTGTGCTAGTGGGTGTGACAACAACAGGGACAATAGCAACAGGGCAGCCCTTGAGCCGCAATGCACGGGCAGCATCACACATCGCAAACCCACAAAATCATCCACTGACACTCTTTTCTTTTTGCAGCCTTCAACGAGCCGAAAAGTGACTGCACCGAAACCACAAATCGCACGAGCTACTTTTCGTCCCGTGGGATGTCATAGAACCAAATTCTAACATAGCCATTGTTCTCGTGTGGGAGACAAGTGTCGAAAAGGGTGAAGAAGAAGAAAAAAAAAAGAATAAAAATCAAACATACCTTCAACAGCCAACACCATTGGCACGAGGAGGCTGCACACCCACAGCAAGTAATCCATTGTCAGGAGCCAGGCTTTTGTAACATGAATAGAGACCCTCAGGATGGCTGCTGGCTGGCTGGATGGAAGGAAGGATGGATGGTGGGCTCAAACAGTGATCACCGCTGCGGGGCTTTGTGTTCCTCACTCATATCACGGAGGGCTCCTGCCGCACCATTCCAGCATCATTCAAGTGTCTTTTGTTGTTACTGTTGCTTTTTTTTTTTTTTTTTAAACCCCCGCGTTATTCACTCACGTCCCGTTATTCCAGTGACTGGGCGCCGTCTCATTCCCGTGATTTGACTTCACCAGCATCTGACCACGGGCGCATCTCTGTCTTTCTCTCTTTATCTCACTCCGGGGTTGCTGTCCTCCCACCCCACGCGCACCGAATTAGGTTGGGAGGTGGGAGGAACCCGCATTCGAAGACGTGGGGACTGGACCGGAGGTTCTAAAGGAAGTCCACTTGGGCAACTCCGCTTAGCTGTTGCGCCTCCGTCGGGGGCTGTGCGTCGGAATGGCAACACTGGGACGGACAGACAGAGAGGGCTCTGGAGAAGAGGGGTGGGGGCTCGGGGTGGGGTGGGGGGGTGCACGTTTCAATTCATCGCTCGTGAACCGACAGCATCCGGTGGACACTTTCAAAATAATAGCTAACAGGTGCAGATCATGGTAAAAACAAGAAAAGAAGAAAGGGGAAATTAAAAATGTTTGATCTTTTTGTTGATGTCAAACCTTTGAACCGTGTATTTTCATTCATTCATTGATTATCCGCACTGCTTATTCTCATGCAAGCTGTCTTTGGGCAAGAGACGATTTACACACCAAACTGGTGGCCAGCCAAACAAACAACGAGTCATGCTCGCATTCATAACTACGTACAATTCAGACTATGCAATTAACCTACCCTCGCATTGTTTTTGCAAAAACGAATGTTTATATTTTTCAAAAAGGTACATTTTTTTCCATTTTTTCATGCTTTGTTCTAGTTCAATTTTTACATCAAGTGACATCTCGAGCATTCGTTAGAGGCTCACAATTAAAAAAAAAATACTAAATTTTTCCATAAAGCTTGTATTGATTGTTTAAATAATGATACAAGGAAAATAAGATGTCGCTTTCTTTATTGTTTAGACGCATTGTCATTTGTCAGTCGACCGTTATAGAGATACTTTGTTCCATTAGTTGTGAGCCATTTCGAGTGAAATGTTCTTCCTGGACTGGGGGCAATTAAAAAATATGAATCACAAAGGAGCAGCTGCCTGAAAATGACCTCAAACTGTGACGTCACACCCACAACACCTCACGTCATCTCATCAGTGATGACACGTAGGGGTAGCACATCACTGTGTCGTGCGCTCACTGTATTATGACACCAGTCCTTTTATTTTGTCGTCAACGTGGATATTTTGCCCTGCAAGTGTGCGTGGGTCTTGACAGAAGCTGCTGCCGGTGCTGAGGCTGAGGTTGAGCAGGTTTCGTAGCTGGCTGAGCACGGCCAACATCCCTTGCAGCATTTGTCCATCCAAACAGCAGGCAGCAACGTGTCGATCAATTGCGGTATTAAATGGACTTTGGCGAGCGTCTATGTAAGCCTGGATAACAATGGGCAGACAGCACCTCCCGCGGTTTATTGAATGGCCTTTGAGACTGATACCGCACAACAAAAACCCCGTGTGCTTCCACGCACTCATTTGGGTGTACATGCAAATTATAGTAAATGAATCAGAACAAAAAAAATCCAAACAAAGCCAAGCCTCACACAGCTGAAGAAGAAACTTTAGATCATGTTTGACCTTTACAGTGTCTGTCACTGTCAGAGGAGGCTGTTTTTGTGCTCAGGCCAAAGTAAAAAAAAGATACCATCTGGGGGCATCGTGGTACGAAGGAAGTGAGTTGAGGAAGTTTGCCACCATCTTGTAGCATACTAGTACCGAGGGAACTAAACTAAAGTGAGACGAGGAGCTCCATTTAGGCAAAAGTAGTGCTCTACCACCATCTGATGACATTTTGGTGTCAAGGAACGTCATTGAAATGAATTTATTTAGAACTTTATCTTGGCCCCAAGGGACTCTGTTGAAGTGAGTCAGGCAGCTTCATTTAGACAAAGCTAGTGTATTACCACCATTTTGTAGCATCCTGGTGTCAAGGACGCATGTTGGAGTGAGTCGAGGAGCTTCATTTAGGCAAAAATAGCACTTTGCTGTCGTCCTTTGGCATCCTGTTGCCAAGGAACTGCTTGGCTGCTTTGTTGTGACATCTAGGTGTCAGGGAACGACCCCCCGCAAATACTGATCGAACACATTATAGTATAGTATAGTATAGTATAGTATAGTATAGTAGAGTATAGTAGAGTATAGTGGGTGAATGTGGGGTTGAGCTCTAAAAACTCAAGCACAAGGCTCCCTTTCACAGTACCTATTCATCAGTCTGTACTCCCCACTGCTTTTTCAGTCCCACCAGTCCCCCCCAACCCCCACCTGATCCTCACCCCCGACATACACACACAAACACGCACACACAATCCTAAACTTGAGATCCCCCACTTCTTCATCCCCCCCCCCCACCACCTCACCAATCCTTTTGGCTTTAGCAATTCTACCACCCTCATCCCCTCCGCCCTCCAACTCTCTTTTGTCCCCTCAGCTTTGTGCACTAATTAACTACAGTTCAGTTCCCAGCAGGCTTGGGTCAGCCCACACTGTCGGGGGAAGTGATTGACAGCTCCCTTTGGCTAGCCGTACTCAAACGCAGGAAAACTCATGCAGTTAACCCGTCGGTCCTACGAGCAGGTAAATAATGACATGGGAATGTCTTAAGATTTCGTATTTGAATGCCATTACTAAAGCAAAAGGCATTAAAATAATGGTCGGTGACTTAGTTGTTGTTTCGACAGGTGTGGAAAATAAGATAAATTTCTCCAACTGGAGACTCATCCCATCTGGCTTCAGATGACAAGTCAGGTCTCAGGCTCAGGGGTTAAAAGTCCAAGAGACACAAAGAGTCATGGATGGAAGCAGAGGAAATGAAAAGTAGCTCGGTGAGGCGGTAGTGCTAAGCCGACAAGAAGGGGGTGACAGAATGTCTCCAAAAAGCCAAAAACTCTAAACGACTTGTGAATTATGGAGTCGGCCAGTGCCCCACACTGTGTCTGTGCGGAGGATAAACAACGCATGAGCATTGAGGTCCATGTTGTGCTTGTGCAGCTGCAGTTCTGCCATTAATCTTAAATGAGCGCTCCTCATGTTTTACACGAGGGTTCCATTTGTTTCCAATCAGCATGTAAAAACAAAATATTTAGCGACGAGTGGTCGTACTGGCCACATAACCGGTGATGAAGTGAGATTTGGTTGTCGGAAACATTTAAGAAAAGGCCCCATTTGTCAAGAGTAGCTACGCAGTTTTAACCTAATACTTTTGAGGAAAACCAAATTACTCTGCATGTTTGTTTATTTTATTTATCTGAGCCGCACGGCCAGACAGACGCAACCTGGCCCCGAGCGCACGAGACTAGACTTGCTCTGGCACGAAAAAGAAATTAGGCTCGTTTTAACACTGAGCGCAAGGGCGCCAGTCTACCAAACTAGGGCCCAGTACGTTCGTTGAACAGCTATCATTTGGGGACTACAACTGTGTGTCATCTACCATAACAGCATACAGAGACTGCAGAAAAAGGGGTCAAGAACAGACCCTTGAGGGATCCCACATGTCATGGCCATTCAAATAGATTCAAAACTTCGAATCGTTAGAATGTAACTCCTTTCCTCCAAGGAGGACCTGAATGATTTTAGGTTCCATTTAATGCCACCAAAGTTTCCAATCTGTGTGACAGTTTATTATGAGCAGTTGTGTCAAATGCTGCACTGAGATCCAATAAAAGTAGTACGACACCTTCCCTGCTTCAGTCTTCAATCTTATGACCTTTATTGACGTACAATGTAAAAGGCAGCGATACAGCGAGACCGCAAAAAGTCAACCGTGATATGGAGAAGGATGGTTGGCTATCCCAAAGGCAGAATATTGCTCTTGTACTGGATCTCATTAGATTGTGCCGGCCTTATGTAGCGAGGACATTAGGCGTAAATCATAAACGAGATCCAAAATTATTCACACGCTTGCCCAATTTTTGTTTGAAACCCACATATCCCCCTGGAGTGCAACCCTCCTGGTAGGCAGCACTCTGGCATATTCATCAACCAGCATCAATCTGCATATTTTGGTCCCATAGCAGACGTTTTGCTTTTTGGTCCTTATTGGATGTCCACAGGTAACAAAAACTCACATTCTGAGACAGATACTTGTAAAAAAAGAAGTAATGCTTCAACTGATTTACCTAACGGAAGAGTTTGTTTTTTTTTCCTAGAAATCACCATGCCCAAGTAAAAATAACCACAGACAGAAGGCTGGATTGATGCGGAGTCAATTATTTGCCTTGCACTCGCGGGCACATTCACAGTAGCCTCATGCTGAGTTGTTACCTTGAGCTTCAGGATCTTTACTGAAACTATGGCGGAATAGCCATCTCCAAATTATTAAAGCATGCCCATCTGTGTTGTATCAGTCTAAATCAACTGAAACAGAATGAAAATTCCGACGCACCATCCTCAGGTCTTGCACACAATGAGCAACAGCCAGCTATTCCACTCGGAAGATTTCTCTCACCCTGTATACATTTTAATATATATCACCCTATCTGAACTCATCTGTTAACAAGGATGAAACAATCCCTTATGAAACAGGACTTGGAAAAAGTGCAGGGGTGGGTTTTGCGTCGGAGGATGGTAAAGTAATGATTCATGAGTATGCGCTAACAGGGAGTTGGTTGTTCGAAGGTGCCAAAGGGCAAAGACACTGCTGGGCTCTTCACAATGGCCTGTCAGCGTGTTGCTCCGCTCGTGTTTATCTCACGGAAATGACTCCTTGTCGTGAAGCTATGAGTACCACTGGTAACTCCTGGAGTACCAGCTGCACTTGCTCTGACTTGCAAACTTTCAGTGTTCTAATGAGCCAAAGCTGTCACTGACTTAACCATGATATGCTATACGAGTCTAATTTGACAGTGATAAAAATACCATGAATGTCATTTATTCCCCCCCGCCCCCTCCTAGAAATTTGATGACTTTTCCTAATGTGACCCAAAAATACATGAAAATGAAAATCTATACAAATATAATTATTTTGTACGGATGCTTCAAAGTTTGTGACCACTGACGTGTCACTGTCTAAAGCAAAATGGAGGTAATTGTTTTCGGTAAACAAGTAAAGAGGATTGCTGTTAGTAAACACTTGAGCCAGGTGCTTAAAAACAGGCGCAAATTCATTATCGTGCCGGTGCAAGTCTAATCTACCGTGTTTAGGACAGTGATGCGACTCACTGGGTGTTCCGGCGCACGGTGCTGCCGCAACCCCCGACGCATCTGACAATTTGGTGACAGAAAGTAGACTGGGCTCGGCGTAAAAATGGTCGCATGTTCATTTTTGTACGTGTGCATGCAGATTAACAGTATGGATGGTTTAAATGGGCACATCTTGTTCAATTTGACACCT